TGTGTTGTCTCAGACATGTTGGTAGCCGGCACGCTGACTCAGTACCCCCACCCCCCCCCCCCGGCCGTGCGACCCTTTGTGGAGAAGGGGCAAAACATTAGCTGCCGTACGCATGCATCGGAATTCAGAAATACCTGATTCGGAGGACCTGCTGCATGCTAATGCTTGTCTGTTTGGACTCTTTGACAGCCATTGATACCCTCTTTGACAGCCATTGATACCCTCTCTGACAAGCCATTACAAATCTAAGCACTGCAATGCATGAGAAGTCTCTCACATTCAGATTGTCACAGGAATAGGACATAACTTGAGCAGTACACACATGGAGTACAAATGATGCATTCTGACTGCCGAAATCATGTCTACTGCTTCAAAATGCCATTATGAAGCATCTTGAAGTTTAAAGATCAGCATTTGCAAGTCCACATTGATCAACATAATGTGGCCAGCTCTTCTTCTAAGAATATAGTAGCTGATAGTTTAGTTAATTCTTTGATCAAACATCCTAAAATAATATATATGGCCTTATTGTCCGAGTGAGATCTGTCACCAGAGATAAAGGTATGGACAGTGTCTCCTACATATAACCAACTGCAACCAGCAGTTTTCTTGACCTCTTTTCCTCTCATCATTTTCATTACCCTTCCCATCTCATTCCATTTCCCCTCCGAGGCATAGATACCAGCCAACTGCGCATATCTGGACCCATTCTCTCCTTCGATTTGCAATAGCTTATTCTCTGCAGCTTTTGCAAGTTCAGCATTTCTGTTCATTTTGCAGGCATTTAGAAATGCACCAAGTATTACAGCATCTGGTTCTACAGGCAACTTTTCCATTAAGCTGACAGCCTTATCAAGTTGATTAGCCCTTCCATACAAGTCGATCATACTTGCATAGTGGTCAGTTTCAGGTGATATTTTGTAATCTCCGGTCATGGAAAAGAAATACTTTTCTCCCATTTTTACTAATCCACGGTGCCGGCAAACTGATAGAAGGGCAAGAAAAGTGACCGCATCAGGTTGGAAACCTTGCTCTGTCATCTGACTAAAAAGCTGAATAGCTTCATTTTCATACCCATGGAGAGCATAACCAGCTATCATGCTATTGTAAAGTATAGAATCTCTATCAACAGCCAATTGAAAAACCCTCTGTGCATATGTTACATTACCACATTTTGAGTACATATCAACCAAAGAATTTGCCAACTTAGCATCCATTTCAGTGCCAGTTCTCAGTATACAGGCATGTATTTGCTTCCCATAATTAAAGGTCGCATGTACAGTGCATGCACCTAGCAGGTTTATAAAAATCAGTTCATCAGGAATAGTTTTTCCCTGTGTCATTAACTCTCTGAAAAGCTGAAAAGCATCTTCACATTGATGAGCTTTCACATATCCAGATATTATAGCAGTCCATACAACATGATTCTTCTCAGGCAATGAGTCAAAAAGCCTTCTTGCTTCTAACATGTTACCCATTCCTGAATATCCTACAATCAATGGTGTGATGGCAAATGGGTTCTCTTTCTGAGTAGTTGCACAAACAGAATATGCATAATTCAAGAGACCACACTTGCAATAAAGATTAATAATACTACTGCTAATAAATGGATGCAAACTCATTCCTTCCTTCAAAATCCAAGCATGAATCTCCTTCCCAAGTTTCAAATTCTTCACGCCAGAACAAGCACTTATAACACTAGAAAAACTGTGTTCATTCCATACAAACCCCTCCTCCATCATGCTCCTGAACAACTTAATGGCCTCCTCTTCATACCCATTTTGTGCAAAACCCGAAATCATTGTGTTCCAAGAAACTTCATCATTCAATTCCGGCCTACACGAAAACACATCCCGGGCCATTTCCAACTCACCTTCTCTAAAACAAGCTGCCACCATCGCATTCTTGGACACCGTGTCAACGGCCCCAACGTCAGATCCATCAAAGATCCTCCTAGCATCTCTGAAACAACCACATTTCGAATACATAACAATCAAAGAACTCAGTGCATACCTACTTAAACTATTCCCGCTCTTCAACATATACGAATGCAATTGCCTACCATATGACAAAAGACTCAACTTTGTTATCAAACCAAGCATGGTAGTCAAGGCATATTCAGATACTTTGTCCTCATATTGCATTTCAACAAATAACCGAACTGCTTGATCCTGAAATCCTTCAGAATTCACATAACCAGACAGCATTGTATTGTACGTGACACAATCCTTAAGGGGAGCAGCACCAAAAAAGGTTCTCGCTTGAGTAAAGTTTTGATCTTTAACATAAGCGTTTATAATAGCATTCCAAGTGAAAACATTTCTTTCAGGCATTTCATCGAACACCTTTTGGACTTCTTGAATAAGAGAATGCTTTGAGTACACATGAATAAGGTGGTTTGCGTCAATGATTCTTGGGGTTAGACCGGATTTGATGATAAGGGTTTGAAACTTGGCGCAGTCTAATAGTGATTTCATTGTGAGTGTTGTTAGTTACTAGAATATAGTATTTAACAGGCTAGTAAATCGATGGATATAATCTTGGGTCATATTTCAGACTCCTACTATACACATTGATCTCATAGATTGAGTTCATAATGCAATACGAGCGCGGTTGACGCCCCTATACTTGAGGAGTAGGAAAAATATAGCGAGACATCAGATGTAGTGTCAAATTATTGCTATTAGACCGCTTCGAAGCAGGATTTAGGATAGTAATAACTTTTGTCACTATAATTTAATCTTTTGTAGCATGTCTTTACCTTACTAGCTATTAAATACAATTAAATAGAGTTGCTTGTAATTTGATTGTGTAAATATTTTTGAAAAACTTACACAAATGTCCCAAATAAGTTTTAACTTATCAATCTATAGCCATTAGTCATAGACTTACCAAAATTAGCCAAACACATATAAAATTTGAAAAATCAAATAAATAAGGTTCTTTCTCTCAAAGAATTACATGCAAAAATCACCTTCCATATTTTTAAATGTGAATAGCAATATTAGATGCAAGACGGAAAGGAAATTTCATGGATGAGGTAGCAAATAACGTGATGAAATATAAAAATAAAAAACATACAATATTCCAAAAATCTAAGCAAAACACGAACTTTTTCAATGGGTATAGTTGAAATTCATTGAAAACATATAGATAAGTCAATATACAAAATTTGAGGAAGATTGGAGGTGATTTCGACTGGTTTTGTACCAAAATTCCTAATTAAATCGAGTTCAAAAAATATTTCTGCGACACATGTATCAAACATCAGTGGCGGATCTAGGATTTTAAAGTCGTGGGTGCTTACTGATAAAAAATTTGAAAGAAGAGGAAAAAAGAGTTTAGTTATGGGTGCTCAATCAATATTTATCTAAATATTCTTATAATTACCTATACAAATTTACCAAATCTTGTCAAAGATAATGGGTGCTTGAGCACCCAAAATCTGCATGTAGATCCGCCCCTGTCAAACATGTATCATGCATGTATCAAACATGTATCACGCATGTATCTCACACACAGGTATACATGGATATACATGTGATACACACTTGATACAAATATGATATATATGTGATACACAAATGATACACAGTATGCTACGCATATCATTTTTTTTTCATGTTCAGTTTTTTACTTCGAATTTTTAATTTAAACCACCTCAAAACTTCACCAAATCATCCCAAAACTGAGATTCAAGCTTCTTAAGATGTACCCAATCTATTCTAATAACACTCACTCAAAAGAAAGCAAAATTATCATTTGTTTGCTACAAATAGCTAATTGGCTAATATTAGTAATGTTTGGCTAATATTAGTAATATTTTATGAATTGGCCAATTTTTGTAGTGAGCTACTTATAAATGGACATAGCTGATAGTTTCCCAATATTTTTTATATATCAATATACAAAACTTAAACTTCTAGCCATTGCAGAGCGGTGGCGGAGCTACCATTGCCAAGGGGTGACATTTGCCGGAAAATTACATTGTGTAGATAAGTAAATTCTTTATATATACATATACCATGTATTGAATTAATCCCATTAACTTCGTCTTGTATTTGTTTTTCTATATTTTGATTCCCCCTAATAAAAATTCCGACTCCATCACTATTGCAAAACATGGATTTACATGGGGTACATGTTCACGTGAACCCATGCACCCCATGTCATTATAACTCATAAGTACAACAAAATCATCTAAATTCTTTCATTATGAGTACAATCACAATTTCAAAAGCGTTCTCTACAGAATATATATGTTAATATCCAATTCAAATACCTAGTTACGTGACACATTCCTGTAGTAACTCATGCATAAGGATTATATAGGCCTGTAATTGGTTTCTTTAACTAGCAACACTTGTTTCCTTTACTAGCGCAATGTAATAGTTGTGGCTTCTTCGAGGTAACAACTTGATCATAAAACACTTTCATATACATTCAAGCAGCACCTTACTTCTGTGTTGTTTTCTTGCTTTAAATTGCATTAAAATCTAGATATATGGTGCATAATATAAGCATATACTTAATCCATGAAATCTCAAAACTTAATCAAAAAATAACAAGGTGAGAAACCAAGAAACTAAATTACCCTTGAAAGCTTTGTAAAGTTGCATGGCATCGTCACGAGGCGACGTTAAAACTGGAGGTATAATCAGGGTAGCCATATATGTATCTGTTAATTCTGTGCTAACAATCTCTCGTGAAGAAAACCAATACACAATGGTTTCGACTAAAATCTCGGTTTCTCTCTCTATTTTCTCTCCCTTCTTTTAGATATTTTTTGATAGTAAATCAAAAAGAGAGAAAAAGGTAGAAAAGAGAGAGAACTTGATCAGTAGAATATTGGAGACATGCAATGTAACGTAAGTGATCATTTAGAATAGAAACTTTGCATGAATTAATATTGAGCATGGTTATGAATGGTAAGACTACAAATGCGTCTGAGAATTGGACGCTTTTGACGGTCGCTCACTCATGAAATGTTTTTTGTGGCCTCTCTTTCATAATAAAAGATGATGTATTTTTTGGTGGAGTAGTAAAAAAAAATTCCTTATTCAGAAATTTTAACTTCAAGCTTTGAATATGAAATTATTTTTGCATGAAACTTTTCGATGCAAATTTAAATTAGTCGAACGGCAAACTATGTATTGAATAGAGAAAAAAAAGATGATGTGCCTTACACCTAAAAAAGAAAATGTGCGATAGGAAATGTCGCAGTCCCAATCCTACCCTTAACATTAATATCTATCCTTCGGATAGTGATTCATTTCGGTTTATATATCTTTAAAATGTTGTCTGTTCGGTTAAAAGTTTGTTATGAAAATATCTACTAAAAAATAAGAATCAGGAGTGACAAATTTTGTAGTTAAACAGAAAAATTTATCGCTAATCTTATTTAGCGACGGATTAGCAACTGATTATCAAAAAATTTTGTTAGCTACGAGCAATTTAACAATGAAATTCGTAGCTAACCTCCGTCATCTCTTCCAAATTTATGTTCCA